AGTCTATTTACCCTTAATTTGAGCAGGTAAATAAGATGATTTGCCAATGGAATTAGTTTATTAATCCTAGAATAAGATAATTAGATGATATGCACTTGAAATAAGACAATTCAGTTGTTTTTCTCATTTTAAAAGTAAATTGTCTTGTTCCATTGGCAAAAATTCTCACATATTTGTTTTGTTATTTAGATTTCATTTTTTGCAGTGTATTATTTTCAGTCATATCCTGTTACTAAGCTTTCAGGGCCCAAAGGGTTGTTTCTTTCCAAACCTAGTGCACTATCATTCATAGCCTGTGATGTTGTTAAGGAATGTTTGTATTCTTTCTAATAAAAAATAAGGTTTAAAATAAAATGCACAAACCTGCTCTGAAGAAGCATCCAAGGCTAGCAGCTAAAACTAAAGCTGTCAGTTAATGCAAATAAAGCTGGCAGATAAGGCTAGGATCTAAAGCTAATGGCTCCATCTCCTCTGTTTCAGGACTACAGCATCGATGAGGAGGCGGCGCTGCAGGCAGCTCTGGCTCTGTCTCTGGCTGAGAACTGACAGCAGGCCCTCCTCGCCCCGGCGGCTGTTCTTCCACGGGTCAGAACCTTTTAAGCCATCACGTGGACAGACCTGACCCGACTGTATCATAACATGGCAGCCACCTCCTTCTCCTGTCGTAGCAGTGCACTTTGACCTTTCAGTTTCACCGTCCTCCTTATGGACTTCATGTTTTTGGACGGGCCGGCCCGCGGGTCAGGAGTGGATCCACCCATTAACTCCTCGTCTTCTCACAGAACCGTCTGCAGTTCATCCCAGCAGCTTGGAGGTCCGCCTCCCTGGAAAGACGCCGGTCTATGACTCTTAAACCCGTCGGTGGTCCAGCCCTCTGTGATGTCACCGGGTGGACACTCTGACCCGGTACTTCAGAGCAGCACTGCCAGACTTCAGGGGATGGGAACCAAGAAGGGACGTTGTCTGTTCCTTCTCTGTAGCTGCCCACAGCGTTCCAGATGAAGATCAGTGAAGCTGGTTCAGCCCCTCAGTTCCGTTTCATTCCAATGCCTCAGTTTAACGTTGGTCCAACCAGAATTCTGATCACTTCTGACAGGCAGCAGCTAGAGATTAGGGTGATGGTAAGGAGTCAGTCCATTACCAGCCAAACATGCAAAAGGAGGGCGGTTGCTGTCTGACGATGATGATGATGGTTTATCCATACCTTGAGGAGGACCTAATCTTTTTTAATAACACGGGAAAACAACAGATATGTTTTGATAATATTTTCTGTCATTCTGTTTTCAGGTTTTATTTTAAATTTCCTGTCAGGAAGGAAGTGGTTAGAATCCTCTAAAGTCCAGACTGATCTGGCATCGAGGCTGCAGACCAGCACAGGCCTGCAGGATGGGAGACATGACAGGTGATAGCAGTTAGCATCCAGTGCTAACACCTGACCTACAGGTGGTCCATGAAACCCAGAAGCATGCAGACACAGTAGAAAGGAACAACTCCATTCAACAGGAACAGAATCTGAGCAGAACTGGGCCCAGGAGAACTGGGCCCAGCGTTAGCGGCAGGTGGAGAGCAGAGCCACCATGTATTCTGTTGGTGCGCGGCTGGAAGTCTGTTAATTTCTGGGCTGTCGAACAACGGGTCAGACTAGCTTCTGTTTGTCTTGCTGATGGTGGATGTTGGTCCGGTTCTGGTTGATTCTGACAGCTCCAAATTAGAGCAATGGTTCCTCTTTATTAACCCAGTACATGCAGGGGTCAGAGCTGCGGGTCATGTGACACAGTGCGGCATACAGGAAGGTGTCAGATGCTGAGCTTCATGGGTGATGGTTTGTGAAGCCCATCAAACCACCGCCTGACCCCCACCCACCCACCATGTGTCTCCATAGGAGCCCGGAACAGCTGAACAGAGACCATTCAGGAATGTTGAACGTTTGTTTGGGAGCCTTGGTTCAGTTCTATCCCTCCGATCGCCAAACAGAACATCCTGCTCCAGCGAACCCACACCTGTTCTGGTTTCACCACTAGAGGGCAGTCTTTCTCTGTAAATTCTAACAGGTAGAAGAGGGTCAGGCAGGAAGGGGCCTATTTATGCTGGATGTTGTTGAAAATGATCAGGTTTTAGTTTGTTCTTCATCTTCTTGTTGAGTTTCTTCTCTTCTAAGTGTGGGTTGTGATTTATTCACCATTTAAAGGTCCAGAGTCTCCTGTCAGAAATCTCCTAGTATTTGATCAAGAGTGGTCATTAAGTTTGATATTCTGAGCAATATTACGCTGCCATCATTCAAAAGAGAAAAGGATAAAAACGAGCCTCAGAGGAATCCTTTTTTTCATTTGTTGGATGATCTGAAGAAAGAAAAAACGGGACTTCCACATGAGGAAAGACGCTGATCATTTGCATCCTCAGCTGATCTGAAGTTTTTGTTTTCTGCACTGTTACCGTGGAAACGGTTGTTACATCCGAGTTACCTTATGTTTACTGTCACATAGACTAGTCACACTGTCTGTTTCTTAGGGTTCTGTCTGGTTTACTAAGAACAAACAATGATGGTTTTGCAGAAGATTAATTTTGTCAACTTCTCTTAAATAAAACTATTTTACAATCCAAGCATTTCATGTATATCTCATATGCTGCTGATGGGACCCTTAATTTGTAGTTTCTAAATATATTTAGGTGCACATCAAACTCAAAGGAGGGGAGAGTTCCTCAGGTGTGATTATTACATCTGAAGAACTCTCCCCTCCTTTGAGGATAGCTAGTAATAGCTAAAACAAACTGTTTCAGAGAGACAGAGTCAGAATGCATTTTTCTGGTGAATGATTGAAGAAGAAGCAGCTAAAGAAACTGAAAAAAGTGGAAAAAAGCTAAAATTGGAATATATGAAAAATCTATAGGAAGTATCTGAAACCTAAAACTGCAGATAACAGTTGAATTATCTGAAGATTCTGTAGGGTTTCCAAAAAAATAAAATTAAAAACAATCCACTGGACTTTGTTTCCTAGTTTGAAGACGTTTCTCTTCCCGTCCAGGAAGCTTTTTCAATTCCAAAATCTTTTTTTCCATTATTTTTTATTTTTGGAATGACTATGACCTGGATGACTGAGATTCTTCACCAGCATTCTGTAGGTAGAATCCGTTGGCAGTTTTCTGGCAGAAACAAGCTCACCTTGAAAGCAGAACAACTCATGAAATTTAATGAACCAGAAGAAACGGTCGAAAAGCATCCGTTTACCTGGAAGCTTAGAGAAATATTTTTAAAAAGACACAGTCCTTTGAAAAAATTAGCAAAATTAGCAATGAATGATGGGTTTGAGTTGAACCAAGTGTTTATCTTTGCTCCGGCTACAGGACCCAACGGCTTCCATTAGGTTTTGATATTTTGCTAAAAATGAGTGCAAACATAAATGCAATGCCATATGTCTATTTAATGTTTTCCTATTGTTGAGAAGGAAAA